TCAACCACTGAGCCACACCGGCCGGGCTCAGTGCATGATGAATACAGAACCACTGTAGCCGTGTAGCCAAAACTAACCCCGGGCCCATCAGAACAGTAAGCCAGAAGGGCGCGATCACCAGTAAACGGCACGCACACCCTGTGACCAGGCACGCACTGCTGGTGTCCACGAGGGAAGAGAGATGCGGCTTTAGAACCGTGACTTTCCGGGGGGTCGCAGACATTTCCCCGGAGGAGCAACCCAAGGCCTGGAGACTCTACGGCCAAGTGGCCCCTGTGATTCTCGGACAGACTTCCTGTGTGGGGGACAGCCGGGAAGACAGCCGCCCCTGGTCCCTGGAGGGGAGCCCCTCCCCCAGGCTCTCCCCCACCAGGACCCTGTCTGTGTCCAAAACCCCCCTTTCCCTTCACTCGCTCACAGGCAGGCTCCTTAAAGTTACAGCCGCCTCAACCCCGGGATTCATTGATCATGGTGGGCTTTCATGAAACACTACCAGAATGGCCGAACCGGTTTGGCTCAGTGGATGGAGCGTCGGCCTGCAGACTCAAGGGTCCCAGGTTCGATTCCGGTCAAGGGCATGTACCTTGGTTGCGGGCACATCCCCAGTGGGGAGTGTGCAGGAGGCAGCTGATTGATGTTTCTCTCTCATCGATGTTTCTACCTCTCTATCCCTCTCCCTTCCTCTCTGTAAAGATTCAATAAAATATATTTAAAAAAAAAAAAGAAACACTACCAGAATGAAGGGCAGCGAGATGAAGATTCTCTCACCCATTGCCTTGTGGGTGTATAAATAAATACATGTGTGAGCTTTAGGTTCTCGTCTAGGAAAAGGGCATCCTTTTAACTTCTACTTGAAAAAAAACAAATTAAACTGAAATGAAGCAAAGGCTCCAATGTGTACAGAATCGAGGGAAAGTGAAGGGGAAATACACACGCGTGTCCACCCACGTTCAAAATGGCTGTGGCAGGCACCGGGGACTCAAAACACGTTAGCATTGGGGAGCTTACGGTTCCACTGTGGCCACGCATATCAGTGCTTTCCGTTCCAACGAGGTTACAACAACACTTCAAAATTTCAAGAACGACTCATTGCTCTACTCCAGGAAGTTTATATAAGAACTTAACTATGGGAGTGCCCGGCCGGTGTGGCTCGGTGGTTGAGCGTTGACCTGTGAACCAGGAGGTCACGGTTCAATTCCCTCCCGACCAGGGCACATGCCCGGGTTGTGGGCTCGATCCCCAGTAGGGGGTGTGCAGGAGGCAGCCGATCCATGATTCCCTCTCATCATGAATGTTTCTCTCTCTCTTCCTCTCCCTTCCTCTCTGCAATCAATAAAAATCTATATTAAAAAAAAACAACAATAATAATTTTCATCTCTTCCGAGGTTAGGCATGGGCAGGACTCCAAGGCTGCAGGTTACATGGTTTGAGTTTGCTATCGGATGAGGGTTATAAGTCAAAAAGCCCCTGCTCTGTAAGATCAGTCACGTCTGGAAAGAATATTCTAAGCCAGCGGTCGGCAAACTCATTAGTCCACAGAGCCAAATACCAACAGTGCGACGATTGAAATTTCTTTTGAGAGCCAAATTTTGTAAACTTCAACTAAATAGGTAGGTACATTGTGATTAACTTAATTAGGGTCCTCCTAAGGCTTAGGAAGAGCCACACTCAAGGGGCCAAAGAGCCGCATGTGGCTCGCGAGCCGCCGTTTGCCGACCGCTGTTCTAAGCAGACGAGCGAGGCGGGTGCGGGGAAGGAAGCAGGACACCCCTACCTCCTCTTCCAGGGCGTCACAGGCCAGGCGGATGCGGGACACGTCCACCTGGTGGGGCTCGGCTTTCAACTTCTTGGACCGGAGGCTCCAGAGTTTGATGCAGGAGTTGTCGAAGCCGGCGGCCAGCAGCTTGCCGTCGGGGGAGATCTCGGCGGCGTTCAGCAGCTGCTCCGTGTGGTAGAAGGCGTAGAAGCAGATGGTGGTGAGGGAGGGCGGGCCCTCCTTGACCCGCCGGATGCTCTCCTGCAGGACGTCCAGGGCGGCCTCGTTCTGCAGGATCGGGCCCCCGGGCACGTCGGCGGGCTCCAGGCCGCCGCCGCCCTCGCCCCGCGAGGAGGAGCCGCCACCTCCGCCGCCGCCGCCGCCGCCGGCGTAGAGCTGGTAGTCGGTCCTCTTGGCGGGCTGCACGTCCAGGTGGATGTGCAGGGTGAGGACCCGGCACAGGGCGGCGTTGTTGTCGCTCTGGAGGTAGCGGATCAGGTAGTGGTAGCTGTCCTCCTGCAGGCGGACCACGTACTTGTTGTCCAGGAAGGCGCGGAGCTTGAGGTTGGACAGGATGTCCTGCAGCGTCTGCGTGGCCTGCAGCTGCTCGACCACGTCCCTCTGGCCGGCGTTGTGCAGGAACATGCCGTGGAAGCGGCTGTAGAAGCTCTCGGCCGTGCTCTTGGGGCTGTTCTGGACCAGGTGGAGGTGGAGGTAGACGAAGAGGGGGTACAGGAGAGGCATCACTTCCTGGCTGTGCTGGGAATCGGAATCTACGACGAGAAGAGGGGAGCGCTGGACAGTTAGCATCATCGCAGAGCGAGGGGGGCCCTCCCGGGGAGTCCCCCTCCCCCCCACCTCCCCGCCACACCACACGGTGTCAGGACCCTGTTTTCTGAGGCTGGAGACTGAAATATGAGCCCAACAAAGCCCGGCCGGCGTGGCTCAGCGGTTGAGCATCGACCTGTGAACCAGGAGGTCACGGTTCGATTCCCGGTCAAGGGCACAGGCCCGGGTTGCAGGCTCAATCCCCAGTGTGGGGCGTGCAGGAGGCAGCCGATCCATGGTTCTCTCTCATCATGGATGTTTCTATCTCTCCCTCTCCCTTCCTCTCTGAAATCAATAATATATATATATATATATATATATATATATATATAAACAATACCACAAAAATACACCCAGAGCCCTCACCCTTGCAAATTTCAATCTTGTCCTTCAACTCTCTCAGAAATTCCAAAGACCGTAAGTCTGAGGCAAGTGGTAAACTACCTTTTTTTTAAAATTTAAATATATTTTATTGATTTTTTACAGAGAGGAAGGGAGAGGGATAGAGAGTTAGAAACATCGATCAGCTGCCTCCTGCACACCCCCCACTGGGGATGTGCCTGTAACCAAGGTACATGCCCTTGACCGGAATCGAACCTGGGACCCTTGAGTCCACAGGCCGACGCTCTATCCACTGAGCCAAACGGGTCAGGGCGGTAAACTGCCTTTGATTCTCTAACCCAACACCGTGCCTGGAACGTAACAGGCTCCGAGGAAAATCCCCACGACTCGTTCTTCGTCGGACAAGGCTCCGGCTGCCGGGTACTCACCGGTGAGGAAATTCCGCAGCCGCCCGAACTGCACTTCATACTGCTGGGGCTCGGCCTGGCACGGGGCGGCGGACACGATGTTGGCACAGCCGGACTCTGTTTGGACTAAGGCGGAGAAGACACACAGAGATGGGGACGGAAAAAGAATTATTCTTCTTCTTTTAAAAACATATCTCTATTGATTTCAGAGAGGGGAAGGGAGAGGGAGAGAAATAGACACATCAATGATGAGAGAGAATCACTGATGGGCTACTCCTGCACAACTCCGACTGGGGATCATCGAGCCCGAAACCCGGGCACGTGCCCTGACCGGGATCGAACCCGGGACCTCCTGGTTCATGGGCCAATACTCAACCGCTGAGCCACGTCGGCCGGGCTTGAATCATTTTGTTGATTCCCCTGCTTTCTCTCTGGTTCTCCTACTGCTTCAAGGGCAGATTCCTGAACTGATATTTCATCTCCCCCCCGCCCCCCATATCCCACTGGTCTTTCTGCTCTGCTTCCTGGGGGCGTCCTCAACTTCACATTTTTACTACGTATTTAAATGTATAATTTTCGTGTGTGTCTTGAGAATGTCCTTTCTTTTTAAAACCAGCATTCTCTCCTTGTTTCAAGGCTGTCAATGGTGATATTTTAAAAAAATATATTTTTATTGACTTCAGAGAGGAGGGGGAGAGGAGAGATAGAAACATCAATGAGGAGAGAGAATTATGGATCGGCTGCCCCCGACTCGGGATGGAGCCCGCAACCCGGGCATGTGCCCTGACTGGGAATTGAACTGTGACCCCCTGGTTCGTAGGTCGATGCTCAACCACTGAGCCACACCAGCCGGGCAATGGTGGTATTTAAAAAAAATATCTATGTTCATTGGCTTCAGAGTGGAAGGGACCTTGTCATGCGTCCCCCTCTCCAGCTCGCCCGCCCGCCCGGAGCGGCCCGCGCCCACCTGTGAGGTTGGCTGCCATCTCCTCGGGCGTCTGGGACAGGCGCAGGCCTTGCTTCAGGGGACCGTCGGTGTCCACGTACTGCCGGCGTTTGAGGTAGCAGGACACGGCCATCTGAATCTGCTCCGTGCGCACCCGTTTCATGACCTGGGGGAGGGGGGGACCAGAACACGGGACTGTCAGGGATCTGGGGGCGCATCCCATCCAGCCGGGACGCCTCCCTCACGGAAAATCAACGGTAGGAAGGACCAGCCCTGAGAGCAGCTAAGAAGCAACACGAATCCCTCGAGGACCAGCCGGTGCTCGCGTCCGTCTGTGTAGTCCCCGGTGGTGATGGTATCACGGCCACCATCGGTGGTGGAACCCCTCAGATCACCCCGACTCCACGGAACGCCCAGATTTCCACCGCCTCCCCCCCCCCCAACTTTTCTTTAGAGACGCATTCAACGCGCACACAAGACCGGCGGGATCCCGGGCCCTTCAGGTCTCCTGCCGGCTCCCCAGGCCGAGAAGCAGGCGGGAGGCGGCACCCAGGCCAAGGCCTGGGAAATTCAGGATCGGGCTGAAGAGGTGCCGGGAAAGGGAGGGGCTACTCATGGGGACAGGGGATGCTATGCTCTCTCTCTCTCTCTTTTAAAATAAATATATTTTTTATTGATTTCAGAGAGGAAGGGAGAGGGAGAGAGAGATAGAAACATCAATGATGAGAGAGAGTCATTGATCGGCTGCCTCCCGTACCTCCTCTACTGGGGATCGAGTCTCAAAAAGCTTTGTTTAAATGGAGGGTCTGATCTGGCTGCGATTCAGTGATGCAACAAAACATATTCATCCTCTCCCCACTAGTGGCCCATCTTTTCACGATGCATTTGCCCGACCCCCTCCCCGCCATGGGTTATTAGAAGTCTTCCATTGTATTGACAACTTAGATGATTCTTCTTTTAATCCTCGCCCGAGGATATGTTTTCATTGATTTTTAGAGAGAGAGGAAGGGAGAGAGAGAGAGAGAGAGAGAGAGAGAGAGAGAGAGAGAGAGAAACACCAACGCTCAAGGGAAACATCGATTGGTGGGGCCAGGGATGGAACCTGCAACCCAGGTATGTGTCCTTGACCGGGAATGGAACGAGTAACCCTTCAGCAGGGGTCCTCAAACTATGGCCCGCGGGCCACATGCAAATACAAATATTATATTTGTTCCCGTTTTGTTTTTTTACTTCAAAATAAGATCTGTGCAGTGTGCATAGGAATTTGTTCATAGTTTTTTTTTTAAACTATAGTCCGGCCCTCCAACGGTCTAAGGGACAGTGAACTGGCCCCCTGTTTAAAAAGTTTGAGGACCCCTGCCCTTCAGGAGGAGGGCCACACCGGCCAGGGCTTCGGTTATTTTTTAATAAAGATTCTTTAATTGCGGAACAGAAGGATTCTGCTACTTTGAGAGTGGGGATCCCTGCTCTGCGTTCACCTGTCCGTCAATGAAGACAGACCATTGTTGAGCTGTGGTCACTGGTAAGCGTTACTGTATCAGTTTGACGGTTCCAGTAACCTGGGTCCCTAACCTGGCTACACTTAGGGCATCTCGGGTGTGTGGTGTGTGTGTGTGTGTGTGTGTGTGTAAATATTTTCAGCCCCGAGGACCCTGATTCAATGTTATATTTAGAAAAAAAAAAATTAAATAAATAAAGGCATAGAGAGAGGGGACAGTACGGTCCCCTCCCCAGTTTGGCCCAAGGTCAGGGCTCCCCCGACCCCACCCCCGCCCCCCGCCCCC